GGGTGCTCCTGTATTGGGTGCATATATGTTTACCAGAGTTATATCTTCTTGTTGAATTGCTCCCTTTAGTATTATGAAGTGGCCTTCCTTATCTCTTGTTATGGCCTTCACTTTGAGGTCTAATTTGTCAGCTATAAGTATTGCTCCCCCAGCTTTTTTTCCAAGTTTAAATTCTTGAACTCTCATTTTTGCCTACTAGGCTTTCAGAAATATCTATCTATCTGTATAAAGCTAATATGCTAAGTGTCCCTCCGTCCATCTGACTGGTCGCTATTATGCACACTGACCACTAGGTGGCAGATGCTCAATGCAGGAGCTTCTGGGACTTGGCAGTGGCAGTTCTCAGGTGCTGCACCCTGAAACCAGAGAGGAGGGAGCCTGATTCCTCGCGGGGCTGTGCAATTCCACCTCCAACCATGGGTTATGTTGTTGCTGGGCACTGTTGACCTTGAATCTGGCTTACTGCACACTTGCGTTTGTGTTCCACACCCTATATTACAGCAACTTTGCAGAGTGCCTTTCACACTCTCGGACCCCTCATGGGATGTCGGAGAGCTGGTTTCAGCGCAATCCCTGCAGGCAAGGCTGAGGGACCCCACCTGCTGTAGGGACCTCACTCACTCCACAGATGCCCTTTGAACCACGGCCCCAGGTGTGGCCATCTGGAGAGGGACTGCGGGAGGTTGGTTTCAGGGTGTGTCTGTCCCAACTTTCCCAATCCCACCCCGCTGGCCACCTTCTAATTAATTTTCTTTCAGTGTACACGAATCCATGCGCCGGGTCACTATTCTTCCCATAATTATCTAAACATGCCTCAAAAACCATGATGTGCATATAAATAATCAAATTTACCTTTCAGATTGATAAAGATAAGCTCTGAGGTAAAATAATGGATAACAGAGTCTTTACCTTGAATGAGAGGAAAAGATACTAGAAATATGTAAATGTAACAATGAAAACACTTTATTTTTGTAAAAGACCTTGCCTCAACTTTAGTTGTGAACAAATAGGTTTTTTACTGTACCATAAATATTTTATATCCCCTACCTTTTCTTAACACAGGAAGAAAGTATAGTAAATATAGTGGGCAGAAAAAGAAAGTACTTAAATGAGTTTTACCAACCTCATTTATTTAGGTATTATTTAGAAAAGGGATTATTCGTTTCTTTAAAAATGAATGTCCTAATCAAAATTCCAGTAAGTTATTTTGTAGATATCAACAAGGATGCTAAAGTTTATATGGAAAACCTAAGACTTAGATTAGCAACACAGGAGTAAAGTTGGAGGACTCACATTAACCTATTTCAAGACTTAAAGTACAGTAATCAGGACAGTGTGGTATTGGTAAAAGAATAGACTCATATATCAATGGAACAGAGTAGAGGGCCCAGAAGCAGACTCACAAAAATATAGTCAAGTGATCTTTGACAAAGGATTAAAGGCAATTCAATAGAGAAAGAACAGTCTTTTCAATAATTGGTACTGGAACAATTGAATATTCATATAAAAAAGTGAATCTAGACATAGACCTTATACCTTTCACAAAATTAACTGAAAATTGATTATAGACCTAAATATAAAATATAAGACTAGAAAACTTCTAGGAGAAAACTTAGGAGAAAATCTAGGAAACCTTGGGTTTGCAAATGTATTTTTAGATACAACACCAAAGTGTGATCCAAGAAAGGTAAAGTTGGTAAGTTGGACATCATTAAAATTAAAAAATTCTGCCCTGTGAAAGACACTATTAAAAGATGAAAAGACAAGTCACAGACTGGGAGAAACATTTGCAAAACATATATCTGATGAGATGTATTCACTATATATATTTAAAAAACAAATTTCAACAATAAGAAAACAAAAAACATTTGAAAAATGGGCACAAGATTGAAAACACAAGAAAAGTTTTGCAGATGGCAAATATGCAGATATTTGTTTTTAATACCATTCCCAATATAAGGAACATGGATCCTTAGAGAAGGCTGATTCTGGGACTGGGGTAGGAAATCTATACTAATAAAAGAGTAATATGCTAATTAGACTGAATAGCCTGGGCATCTTCCGAACGTCATTCCAGATGTCCTTCCTGACAAAGCCAGGGGCATGGCTGGCCTGCAAACTGCCCGTGGCCCCTCGCCCAGGCCAACCCCGCCCCCCATGGGGAACCCCACCCCAATGGGGGTGTGGATGGCCTGCAAACCACCTGAGGCCCCTCACCCAGGCTGGCCCCACCCCCCGGCTGGGACCCTCACCTCGATTGGGGGCGTGGCTGGCCTGCAAACTGCCCGCAGCCCTTCGCCCAGGCCGCCGCCCCCCCAGCAGGTACCCCCACCCAATCAGGGTCGTGGCAGGCCTGAAAACCGCTGGCAGCCCCTCACTCAGGCTGGCCATGCCCCCCAGTGGGGACCCCCACCCCAATCGGAGGCGTGGCTGGCCCCCACCCATGCACCAGGCCTCTATCCTATATAATAAAAGGGTAATATACAAATTGACCCTAATGGCAGAATGACCAGAACGACTGCTAGACCAGTCACTATGAGGCTAACTGACCACCTCTTGTTTCTTTTCCCTGGCCGGCAGGCTCCGATCACCTAATGGCACCTGCGGTGGGGCGGGGCCGGCGAGAGGGCGGGAACAGCAGACCACTGGGTCCCTTCCCCCAGCCTTCAGGCACCAATCACCCGATGGTGAACGGGGAACTGGGGATGGGTGGTGGCGGGGGCGGGGCCGGCTGCGGGCAACTGGGGAAAATGGCCCTGATCACAGGTCAGGCCTAGGGACCATACCTGCACATGAATTTCATGCACTGGGCCTCTAGTATTTAATATGAGACTAGAGAATTTTATAGTGCCAGAAAGTAAGGAAACATACATACACACACACACACACACACACACACATACACACACACACAAATCCACATTAATGGTGGGCATATGTCAAAGGGACATAGGAGCCAACTAAAAGAGGTTTCAGTGGCCAAAGCTAGAACAATTTGAACAATAAAACAAATAACATAGTATTAGATTGTAACCCAAAATCTATATATATAAAAAGCCAGGGGCCGTCACATCCGAAACAACCAAACGGACGACTGAACAGGCTGAGTGGTGCGACAAGGCTGGCAGGGGGGGTTAGTGAGGGATGACCAAACGACTGAGCAGCAGGCTGCGTGGGGTGACCAGGCTGACAGGGGGAGGGGGGCAGTAGGGGGTGACCAGGCCGGTAGGGGGGGCAGTAAGGGGCGACCATGCTGGCAGGGGGTTCCACGTTAGGGGTGACCAGGCCAATGGGGGGGCAGTTGGGGGCAACCAGGCCGGCAGGGAGGGCAGTTAGAGGCAATCAGGTCAGCAGGCAGAGGTGGTTAGGGGTGATCAGGCTGGCAGGGGGGCTAGTTAGGGGTGATCAGGCAGGCAGGCTGATGAGCAGTTAGGAGTCAGCAGTCTGGATTGTGAGAGGGATGTCTGACTGTCGGTTTTGGATCGGGGGGTCCCGGATTGGAGAGGGTGCAGGCTGGGCTGAGGGCATACCCTCCCATGCACGAATTTTGTGCACCAGGCCTCTAGTATAAAATAAATATTCTTGAATCCAAACTGATATACATAAATAAATGGTAGAAAAAAGACAAACTTGCTAGAAAGAAGAATTTCAAATAATTTATGTAGATAGTTGGCCCTCAAGGAGGGGAAACTGAACTTTCCATTCCTAACTATGGACTGCCAATAATGACTTTCTTCCAACGAATTCAGGGGAGAGAAAAGTAAATTCACATTGGAGAAACCTGAAAAACACTACCTCAGCCAGGTTATCAAGGTCAACTTTAACAGTGATGTCATGTTAGTTAATAGTATGTACCTCAAGCCTTGTCTAATCACTAGAAAAACATCAGACAAATCCCAATAGAGGGGCATCCTACAAAATAACTGATAAGTATGCCGCAAAATGTCAAGATTTTCAAAAAACAAGGAAATTCTAAGAAATTGTTCCAACTAAAAGGAGCCTAAGTTGACATGACAACTAAATGTAATATGACATTCTGGATGGGATCCTGGAACAGAATAAGAACAGTAGGTAAAAGCTAAGGAAGTCTGGATAAAATATGGACTTGAGTTAATAAGAATCTATATCATAAAAGGCCTGTAGTCATGATGCTGCAACAGTGTCACAACCAATGACTGGACTCACCAGGAGGTGCATTGATGGGTCCCACGGCGGCCGTGGCGGGCGGGACTTTTGAATCCCGCGGTGGCCGCGGTGTGGGGGACTTCTGGGTCCTGCGGTGGCCTCGGCAGGTGGGACTTCTGGAGCGTCACGGGGCACCGGCAGCATCCAAGGAGCATAGTGGGCCACTGGCAGCGTCTGTGGAGTGTGCGAGGCTTCTCGAGGTGGCAGACATGGCCCTGATGGCAGGTTAGGCCTAGGGGACTCTACACATGCACGATTTAATCTATATTAATACTAGAGGCCCAGTGCATGAAATTCGTGCACAGGTAGGGTTCCTAGTGGCTGCCGGCTGCCAGCCGGGGCCTCCCTTCCCCTGGCTGCCTGCCACCACTGCCGACTGGGGCCTCCTTTCGCACCCGCCTTGGCCTGGTGCCACCCACTCACCTGCTCCACCATCCTGCCTCAGTCCCGCTCTCATCGGGGCCCATCACGGCCAGCAGCACCTCCACTGCTGCCCACTGCCAGCACCATGTTGCCAATGCCCACCATTTTCCATGCCGCCCCATGGTGGTCAGCATACGTCTAATTCCTGGTAGGTTGAACTCCCTCCCGTGCTTGGGGAAAATTTGCATATTAGCCTTTTATTATATAGGATTAGTTCATTGATTATTTTAAAACTATACTATACTAATATAAGATGTTAATAATAAGGGAAACTGGTTGGAGAGTATGTGGTAACTGTGCACTATACTCTCAATTTTTCTGTAAATTTAAAACTGTTCTATCAAACATATCAAAGTTTTGAAGGTCACAATAACTGTTTTCTGTCTCTACAGTTTCGAGAGTGTTTGCTGCCTTGCTGACTCTCCTTCTCTCTCAGACATCACTTTTGATGGCAACCCCATAGCTCAGGAGCCATGGTACAAGCACACTGTTCTTCAGAACATGCTGCAGCTGCGCCAGCTGGATACAAGGAGAGTCACGGTGAGAGCTCCTCCAAGCGCTTACAGTCTGTTCTCCTTAGTGTGCATGAGGGAATTGGGTTTTATATTCTCTGCTTGAAATGCTTCTTAATTTTAATTAAACTAGGGATTATCATAAATGTAATTATGGTATACTTCAAAATTGTAATTGTAGATATTTTTACCACTTTTCCCCTATTCCCAATGTCATTGAATAGGGCTTTTTAAATTTCTATCCTTCTATTTAACTTAATTATTATGCTTGTTTTTCATTTTTGCTTAATATCTAACTAATAATTTACTTTGTAATGGGTAAGAATTTTGTCGGTAATGGTTAAGAACATAATGATTAAGAAAGCAAACTGTTTAAGTCTGAATCCTATTGTGACTATTTTCTATTTGTATACCTTCAGCAGTTTCCTTAACCTTTCTATACCTCATTTTCTCAAAGTAAAATGGGCGTCATAATTGTATTATGTTGTTAGTAAGGTAAAATAAACTATTGAACAAACCTTAGAACAGGGTGAGGCTTCTAGGAGGTATCATACGGAGTTGTTTTTGATGCTGTACCTCTCAAAGTAATGATCTCTTTTCTTATTCATTCTACTCCACTCTACCTATTCTACTTATAGGTTTTGATATGGCTCCTCATCTGAGTGAAATGCTGCATATGATATCTTGTTTATTGGTATACAATGTACATTAGCATATTTTGGGCTCCAAGAAGTTCTGGAAGAAAGAAACTTGCCTTAATTCATTTCATTGCATCCCAAGTTAATTTTAATATTTTATTTTCTCAGAAAAGTCCTTTTAATAATCTCAAACCTAAGCTTCTACTTGTTTTCTTCTTAATGCTTCCAATATTAATGTGCATTTTGAGTGATCAGTTAAGTTTATTCAATTGCCAGTTGACTCATGGCCTGTATACAGCTTCACAGTGTGTGCAGTTTACATGTCTATCTCAGCAGTATTATGGACAGATAAGATGGCTAGCACAGAGTTAAGTGTTGATGTATCATGAATACCAGGGATCTGGTAGGTTCTGCCTCTCTCTTTGTTCCAGCATGGTTCTTTGTTCTCTCAGTTTGTTTAGATCTATACTGTCAACACTGTTTCATACTTTTACCCTATCTACATGTCTTTCTTAATTAGGCATCTTGGCTACTTCTCATTGTTCTTCCTGATGAAGTTGATATGAGTGGGGTAAGAGGTGAAGCTAACCCATTTATATAAATTAGTACTTAATTATGTACAGTAAATCCTTGATTTTGTGGACCTCAATTTAACAGACTTCGGATTTAACAGACAGAATTTCTGGTCCATATGTCATATGTGAAAATTAGCACCCTGTTAATTTTTAAATGCTTTTAACCAAGATTTCTTATAATTAAACTAACAGGTTGTTTTCTGTTTTAATTCACTGTTATTTTTAACAGATTTTAGCAAATAGGCCAAATGTTGGAAAAAAAACACTGTAGTTATTTCACCAACATAAATAGATATTACATATCTACCACTATAGTCTATAGCTCTTAAACAATGTTCAGCAAATGATTAGCAATCACACCGAATTATGTAGACAAACAGGTAATTGGTTCTGTTGTTGTGTGGCATGACTTTCTGTGGCAGTTTAACGCAGGCCAGCTGATATTCCGATGTGCACATGCCCCAGCTGTGTGCATTTGTTTACTCTCAGTGATTGGTGAATGCATGCATTAACTAGATCTATTCAGTTTAAATTTAAAATTACTGTAATACATACAGAAAACTTTTCTGTGAAATTAAACTTTTCATAAATACTTAACTTTAATTACACAAACATGTTTACACTAGAGGCCCGATGCATGAAATTCGTGCAAGAGTAGGTCTTCCTTCCCTCCAGCCACCGGCAGGCACCCGGGACCCGGTCTTTCCTCCTCTGGCCACCGGCTGGCACCCAGGACCCGGGCTTCCCTCCAGCCCCGGCTTTGTCCGGAAGGACATCCTGAATGATGTCCGGTCTAATTAGCATATTATGCTTTTATTATTATAGGTAAGTGAAAACAGGTAAACCAACTAATTTGTCATTTTTTTAACATGTTCATTTGGAAAACCTACTTTATTATATAACAGACTTTAGGCTTTAATGGATACCCCCTCACCCAAATTAGTCCATTATATAAAGGTTTTACTGTATTGTGCTTCTTATAGTGAATTTATGTCAGTTTTGTCTACATAACTAATGTCCATACAGAGCAGAAACCATTCTTCTTTTTCCTTGTCTAATACATACAAGTGTTCTGCACATGGTTCTTTTCTTCTCTATCACACTCAATGCAGAAAATGTAATGTTCAATAAAGATTTGCTGGTTCAGTGATATTTACCCACTTCTATGCCTTAAATAAAGGAGAATAAAACTGTATATAGTCACTGTTCTTGTACAGTCCATAGAGTATGTTTGCCTGGTGAGAAAAGGAGGGAAAATCAACTGGGGTGGGAGCAGGGCCAGCTGTCCTGCTAAATACAGAGCAGCAGTCCTTCACATCTGCTCTTCCACTGTTCATTTTAGAAATTTAAAAAACTCTTACATGGAAACAATCTCAAAGTTACAGAGAATTTGTACATACAATACAAAGAACTTTTTTTTCTTGTACTGTTGTCAGACATGGACCAGGACCAAGGCAGGTCTGCCAGGCCAGTCTGGAAATGGGTCCTTGCAAAGTTGCAGAAAAAGCATTTTGGGGACTCATGCATAGGAGGAGTTGAGGTATAGTGGCAAGATTTATTGGAGAGGCGTGTACGGCATAGATGCCCCTCCATAAGCCGCTGTACTGCCTCATTCATGACCAGGTGGGTCAGCTTCATCTCACTGTGGAAGAAGTCTAACCTATGGAGCCACACGTCCGCACTTGTCCTCACTCAGGAGAAGGGCCAGGACCCAGACCTGCTGTGCCATTACCCTGGCATTCAAGGCTCTAATAGTCTAGCACAGTGGTTCTCAACCTTCTGGCCTTTAAATACAGTTCCTCATGTTGTGACCCAACCATAAAATTATTTTCGTTGCTATTTCATAACTGTAATGTTGCTACTGTTATGAATCATAATGTAAATATCTGATATGCAGGATGGTCTTAGGCGACCCCTGTGTAAGGGTTGTTTGACCGCCAAAGGAGTCGAGACCCACAGGTTGAGAACCGCTGCTCTAGCACCAGCGAGGCAGTGTGTGCCTCGGGCCTTTGTTCAGCTTTGGTTATATTTTCTTGGGCTTGAGAGAGAGCAGGCTTTTTTTCAAACACTCCAATCTTGTTCCAAATTCTTCTCTGTCTTGTGCTGGGCCCTCCCCCCTATCCAATCCCTTTCCTTAATCATCCAGGTTTCCATACCCTTATCCTACCTTGTCCTTTTCCCAAATTTTCCCAGGCTAGACTCGTCTCCTTTATGGTGGCCATTTTGGCTCCTACTGCAAATGCCTCATAGTTTTGCCTCATCATCTGGCTTCTGTGCATGCCTCAGGAGGAGAATTTCCCCCTCTCTGTTTCACCCCTCCCCCTGGTTTAATCTGTGGGAAGGGGTGGGTACTTCCCTGGGAGATTGGAAAGCTGGGTTCTCCCTCCCTACTCAGGGGGAAGAAGGGATGTTAATCCCCTTGGCAGGGCAGTTTGGCTATCCCCTGCGTCTGGAAGCCAAAGACTCCTAGTTAATCCAACTTAATTAGATATCTGGCTCCCTTCTCTTTTGTTAATATCTTACTGGCTGCGTACTGTAACAGAACCACTTGAGAGTAAGTTGCTGACTTGATTCCTCAACAACCCTGAACACATTAGTGTGTATTTCCTATAAGCAAAGACATTCTCCTGTGTAAACACAATATAACTAATGAAATCAGGAAATGAATATTGAATAATTACTAGGGTCAAATTCTCACACCACTTTCAATTTTAGCAATCATATCAACAATATTTGGTATAGCAAAATGATCCAGTTTGGAATTATTCATTTGTGGGGGCTAAAAAATATTAACACTTTTCCTTCTTCTGGCTGGGCCAATAACCAAACAGATACAGATTAACAGGAGAATATGAAAGTTTAATATATGTGCATAGGGAATTTACATAGACATGAGAATTACATGAAAATTCCAAAGACAGTGAGGTAACATTGGATATATAAAACATTTTTGGACAAAGGAGAAGGGGATGGGGGGAAACAGGGAATTAGATTTCAGAAATAAGAATGGATGATTTACAGGTAGTTGAGGAGGAGGAAACACACTTGGCAGAAAAATCCTAGCCAGGTGATTCAGAAACAGTGGGACACAGGATACCCACCTGCCCAAAGCCCTGTTATTTACCGTACTTACTTCAAATTAGGCAGCATACTGAGCTCTCCTTCCTGAAACAGGTTTCTCTATCTGAATCTCTTGAGTAGGAAAGGGAGAGGGCCAAAGGTTCTTTCTGAGTCTTTTGTTTCTTAATAAACACCTTAAATTCAATACATTGGAAAGCAGCTTTGGGGTGGTGGAATTTGGTCCCTTCACATTACATATAGATGCATTTTATTGTCATGTCTCTTTTTCAGGCACAGTTCCTCAATTCTTTTCTGGGGGGATTTCATGACTTTAGTATTTATGAAGATTACAGATCAGTTATTTTGTAGAATGATCCTCAATTCAGGTGTTGTTGTTTTTTTTCATGTTTCCTCATGATTAATTTTTAGCTACAGATCTTTGGGATAAATATCACAAGTGATTTTGCATTCTTCTCATTGCATCCTGTCAAGTGATGGGTAACTTTTATTTATCCCTTTACTGATATTGTTCACTTTAATTAAGATGATGTCTGCCAGGCTTCTCCATGTGAAGTTACTGCTTTTCTTTTGTAATCCAATTCCTTATAAAAATTTCAATTTATTTATATTGGGATGGACCATGTTATTTAGTTCACTTTTTGTTTATAATTTTATAGTAACTTTACTGTGGAAAGAATATACCTTTTAAAGATTTGCAGTAACAGGATTGGCATACAATGCCTATGAGCTGGTCA